CAAAATGTACAAATGTAATTGAGTGTGGCCTCTGCTGGCTTGCATGGACATGCAATTAACGTGTGACTATTATTTTCTTGATTAATCATTTTGTCTACTGAAATATCAGAAAATAGTGAAAAATGTCCAACACAGTTTTCCAGAGCCTCAGGTTCCTTCTTTAAATGCCTTATTTTATATTAAGTTTTTCTAAAGATATTATGGTTACTCTGCTGTATAGTGAAAAAAAAGTAGCAAATCTTCAAACCTGAGAAGCAAAAATGAGAAAATGTTTGACATTTTGGCTTGAAAAATGACTGAAATTAAGAATCATTTATCAAAATCATGTTGGATTTTCTGTTGATCTAATAGTTTCTGCTCCAAACTATCCATTGAGCGCTGCCCGACATCTCTCAGACTCAAATTGGAGGTGTTAAAGTGACCGGTGTGACAAATGAACCTCTTCTTCTCTAGTGCTCTCGTGCACACAAACGCACTGACTAACTGTGAAACGTCTCATCTACAAAAGTATTGCAGAGCATGAGTTCAAAGTAAATGGAAAAGAAAGTGAATAACCCTAAAGGGCAAATACGACCAGTATAAGAAAGTAAGTGTACAATGTGAGGACAACAGGAGTGATGGGAAAATTAAAACTGGAGGAGAGATACACAGTGCCACTGAAATACAGATGTTCCCACAGATACCATGGTGTATTTTTCATTACCAATTTCTTTTGGTGACCTGTGAGGTCTGTGGCTGTATTAAGAGAGTAATGGCTTCTGCGGGCTCTCGCAGCCTGTGTCAGTGAGACAGGCGGCTGTGTGGAGTGATGTGACCCCACTGCCGTCCATCATTGCAGGTTCAGTGGGTGGTGGTGGGGATGGGGGGGTGGGGGGGGGCAGGTGTAGCAGAGAGAGATGGAGTTGATTTGTTTGATATTTCTAGAGTGAGTCAAGAAAGGGTGATGGGAGGAGTGAAAAAAAGCTAGAGGAAACACATCGATCCTAGACACAGAATCTGTGCAAGTAGCGGTGTATTATAAGTAAGACAGACGCCAATTACAAGGATCGCGAGACTGAAGGCAATTGGTGAAAGACAACTTTCTGGTATAATGTGTTAACACAGTTTTCCAGTGCTCTCTTTTGTGGGGGTGGGTTGGGGGGCAAAACAGGAGGCAAACGGTAACACGACAC